TTTAGGGAACTCCCCCTATGTATTTCAGGAGGCCCGCATCCCTGGAAGCCTCCGAGGCTCTAAAGGACTTCGATGATGACCGAGGACGAAGGCCGTCACCAGGGTTCAGGGTTCAGGGTTCAGGGTTCAGGCCTCGGGTTTAGGGTTTAGGGTTTAGGGTTTAGGGTTTAGGGTTTGGGGCTTAGGGCTCAGGCTCAGGGCTTAGGGCTTAGGGCTTAGGGCTTAGGGCTTAGGGCTTAGGGCTTAGGGCTCAGGGCTTAGGGCTTAGGGCTTAGGGCTTAGGGCTTAGGGCTTAGGGCTTAGGGCTAAGGGCTTAGGGCTTAGGGCTTAGGGCTTAGGGCTTAGGGCTTAACCCTAAACCCATGTGTGTCGGATGTGGAGGGCTGGGAGGGCAGGGCTTTACGGGTTTAGGGTTTAGGATTTCGGGTTTGGGGTTTAGGGGCTTAGGGGCTTAGGGTTTAGGGTTTAGGGTTTCGGGTTTAGGGGTTTAAGGTTTAGGGGTCGAAGGGGTTTAAGGTTTAGAGGTTTGGGGGGGTCTAAGGGGTTTCAGGCGTCTAGGGCCTTAGCATTTAGAATGTAGGATGTCCAAACGTCGTAGGATCCTCTGTGAGAGTGCCCAATGCAAAAAAAACACTGGGAGCCCCCTTTCAGGTTTGGTGGGCGGTGGGGAGTGGGGGGGGGGGGGTTCCCAGCATAGAGAAGAGCTCTGAGGGTTTTAGGGTGTGGGGGTTTTGGGTTGAGTGCATCTCCACCCTGAACCCTAGCTGCCCTGACTGCCGTGCCTACGCCTTAAAGCTTGAACCTGCATACCGGGAACCCCGCCCCCCGCCCATTGGTGCATGGGACGGGTGGGGGGCCTTGCTCAAGCAAAGGTGGGTTTGCCCTGTGGGAGGGATTTGGGGTTTTTTAGGTTTGACGGGTGTGGGGCTGAAGGTTTATGATCTGGTGCTGGCGAAGCAGATGTCCAGGCGCCCTACATCCCAGACCTGCAAGCTCCTTTGTCTGGGTTTGGGGTTTAGGGTTTAGGGTTTAGGGTTTAGGGTTTAGGGGTCAGGGGTTAGGGTCCCGAGTCCGGCCTCCCTCGGAGGAGCAAGAGGGGCAAGGGTCAGGGCATCAAGTACCAAGATGCTCTCCGCTGACTCGTTGCCCAAGCACGTGGTCAATCTCATCGAGAAAGAGAGCCCAAAACAGCCCTAAACGCTAAGCCCCTACACCCTAAGCCGAAGCCCTAAAAGAGCTTTTAAAAAACCCTAAACCCTAAGCCCCGTTTTCCCCCAAAGCCGAAGCCCGAAACCATAAACGCACGGCAGTCACAGACTCTTCCACCCAGACAAGGACGTCAACCTTGACCACGGATTGCTTCATACCGCCCCGAACCTTATAGCTAAAAGGCTGCTCTTCGTGCATCTCAGTAGCCCTTCACTATTTTTGTTATTCTTTATTTGTTTTTTTTTTGCAAGGGTTTTCGTTCAAAGCCAGTAGTCCCCCCCTATATGCACCTTACACCCTAGACTTCGCTAAGCCCTAAATCCGCCAGTTCTTGGGTACCGATGCTTTCAGGTTGTGGGTTCATTTTTGCCGCACCTCTCTAAGCCTGAAACCCTAAACCCTAAACCCTATACCCTATAAGCCCTAAATCGTATAAACCCTACAAATCCTACCAAGCACTAGAGCCTAAACCCCATAGTGGGTCCCTTAAATCTTGTGAAATCCCTTATGTTGTAACTGTGCCATGCTATCTAGAGGGGAGCTCAAAAAGGGACCCTAAGTTACAGAACTGCCAACCCGGAACCTTGGATCCCTAAGCCCTATAGGGTTTAGGGTTTAGGGTTTAGGGTTTAGGGTTTAGGGTTATGAAGCCTATAAACCCTACATACAAGCCCTAGAACCCCAAACCCGAAACCCCAAGCCCCCCAACCCTAAACCCTAAACCCCAGGCTCTGGCATGGACAGGCGAGACGAACTGGTGAACCTCGGGGGCCCAAGCACCGAACTATGGAATACTTCCCTGGACCCTAAACCCTAAACCCTAAACCCTAAACCCTAAACCCTAAACCCTAAACCCTAAACCCTAAACCCTAAACCCTAAACCCTAAACCCTTTCCCCAAGCTGGAGTGAAGACCTGATGCCCATTAAACCCTAAACCCTTGCAGGGTCAGGGGTATAAGGAGAGACCCCTAGAAGCGAGCCTTAATCTGATTCCCCTATATCACCCCTATATACCTAGTAGTAGAGTAGAAACCTTTAACCTTTTTTGGGGTAATACAATCTCCTTATATTCCCAAAGGTTAGCCTTTAACTCCCCCAGTTTACTGGACAACTAAGTATATATATATATATATATCTCTCTCTCTCTACATATATATATATACACACTTTACATAGTCCCTAACTACCTAAGTAGCACCCAAATAACCACTAAAGGTCCCTTATAAGGGTCCCTCCTTTAGTCCCTTGACCTGCAAGGGTTTAGGGTTTGGGGTTTGGGGTTGAGGGCTCAAGGGCCGTAGGCCCGACAATCCCGCAACGGCTGATGTACTTGGACCCCCGGTGACAGTGTACAGCTGAAAGTCTCGCAGTGCACGTGGCGAAGACTGTCGTCCTGGGCCGGGGGCTAAACCCTTCTTCCCTTTTGACGGGGTCAGGTTCCCTTTTTTCAGCCCCTTCAAACAAGCAGCGTGCCCGTGCTTGATCTCCTTTGTCTTTTCAAGTGTATATTCGAGATGTAGCTGCGTATTCATACATATACCTTTATATGTATATCTAAATTACATTAATTTATGCAAGCGCTTACACGTGTGTTGCTGCAAAAGCCCAGACATACCTCCGTAGTGCATAGCTGTATGTATGCTTGTTTACCCTGTGCTTCAATCATTTGTCTCATACCATATTGTAGATCCTGAGTATCTCATGCCGTCCCTCAACCCTAAAATCCAAAAACCCTAAACTCTACAAAGTTTGAGTTCAATCCATGGCCCACGACAGCCGGCCTGCTTCCAGGTAGGGCTTGCTACAGACCTTGCCTGACCGGACCATCTGGAAGTGCACCGGACAGTTCTTAAGCTCCGTGCCCCGAATTCTGGTAGCGACAGCTGCCCTTATGCTTTCGGCAGCGGAAGCAGTTCGGTTGGGACTACTGCCGCTGCACCAGGCGTTGCCTTCTCACTACAGTAGAGGCACACCTGGCCACCATCTTGTATATGAACATGCTCAAAGGTCGATGTTGCCTGCACACTTCTACGCCCGAGGTTTATAAAGGGGCTTTTGCAGGTATCTGTTGGGGCTTTTTTTGGTGTTTGCAGGCTTTTGGGCCACTGGTGCAGCGATACATAAACCCTAAAACGTGCACTCTAAACCCTAAACCGTAGGTTTAGCAATGGGCCCAGCTGCAGTTCTGCACCACGAGCATTCCCGGGATAAGGGCTTGGGGCTTCCTGCGCCAGAAGCCATCAATAAGGGGGTAGAAAAGGACCTAGAACGCACCCTGAATCTTATTCCCCTTTTAGAACCCTTTTTGTACCTTGTATAGTCCCTATATACCTAAGTAGCCCCCTAAGGTCCCTTCTAAGGGTCCCTCCTTTAGCCCCTTGATAAACCCTAAACCCTAAACCCTAAACCCTAAACCCTAAGCCTAAAACCCTAAACCCTAAACCCCAAGCACCAAGCCCTAATTCTGAGTATTAGAAACTTGGACCGCGTCGCGCAGCAGTTTCGAGCGCCCCGTTCCACAGCGTTCTTTGTAAACACATCCTCCACAGTGGATCCCCGGATCAACCATGGTCGCGGCTTCTTGGCGTTCATCCGGGAACTGGGGTTTAGGGTTTAGGGTTGAAGGTTTAGGGTTTAGAGTTGAGGGTTGAAGGTTTCGGGTTTAGGGTTTAGGAGCCGAATCACTGTGAGCTCCCAACCTTAAAACCTCAAACCCAAACCCTGACACCTAAGCAACGTTGGGGATGAACCTAGTCGTGCCCCGACGAAAAGCCCGAAACCCTTCCCCCCTCAGGGTCCACAGAGTCCGGGGAAAGGTAGAGGTTTAGGGTTTAGGGTTTAGGGAGAGCTCCACTTCCTTGTTTGCAGATGTACATACATGGTGTTATCTGTCTACTTGTACACATATGCATAGCAGGGTATGTGCATGTTCTTCCCCTTGCTTTCTGACACTGGCGATTGGCCAAGCTACGAGTTTCTTAACCCCCCCGAAAAAAAAAAACAAAAATACTCTTCCTTACAAGGGTAATAATCGGGATTATTACTGTTTATGAGGGTAATATGGGGATTGTTACTGTTCATAAGGCAAATAACGGGATCATTACTGTTCATGTTTTTGGGGTTCTGAAGCAATTATTATTCTTATTAATACTACTATTCTCCTTATTATTAGCTAGATTGTGTTGCTCGCACGGGTGAATGAGGCAAAAACAGATAGATTGTCAGATCGGCAGCCAAGCCCTAAACCCTAAACCCTAAACCCTAAACCCTAAACTCTAAACCCTCAACCCTGAACCCTGAACCCTGAACCCTGAACCCTAAACCCTAAACCCTGAACCCTGAACCCTAAACCCTGCACTTTTTCAGGATCCTTCCGGGCCACGAAATGGATGAACCGCAACGGTCTCTCCATGCCTAAAAATCATGCGCGGCACCTCTCAAGTGTTTAGGGTTTTAGGGTTCAGGGTTTAGGGTTGAGGGTTTAGGGCCTTCAATTCTAAAAACCTAAGTCTCGGGGTTTAGGGTTAAGAGTTTAGGGGGTCAGCCCTGAGCCCTCTGCTACTATTTGCTTCACAGCCACCCACAAAATCAAGAATCGTAATGCCTATGTTGCCCTGATAAGGAAGAACATTTCGGGGGTTCTCAAGCAATTCGTAGTAAACCTTGCGTAAGCAACTAGTAGTAAACCCTGCGCACAAGCACAATGGTCTTCGGCGAGAGCCCTAAACCCTGAACCCTAAAGTCTGAACCCCGTAGCCTTACAAACCCGCGCACAGGCGACGCTGATGACATGTTTGCGCTCTTGAAGCTTGCTCGCAGAGCAAGAGGCTCTGAGGTTTGACTTCGGGTGTTTAGGGCTTTTAGGGCTCTCTAGGGTTGTATTTTAGGGTTGTTTTCGGGCTTTCTAGGGTTTGTAAGGAATTTAGGGTTTTTATTTTTATGTTTAGGGGCATTCAGGGTTTTTGTTTTAGGGTTTTTAGGGTTTAGGGTAGACCCCTAAACAACCCTAAACCCCAAACCCTAAATCCCCAAAACCCTTAGAGCGCCCTGCCGTCAATCCTTTCGAGCCCCACGCGAGGAGCGATGCGCTCTTTCAGCATGCTGGCAGCTCCTCAGCTGATTTTTGCATGTCAGGGTTTCGGGTTCAGGGAACCCTGAACCCTGAACCCTGAACCCTGAACCCTGAACCCTGAACCCTGAACCCTGAACCCTAAACCCTAAACCCTTAACCCAAGCCCTGAACTCTACCCCCTCATATGGCCAGCTCGATAACTTGTGGTCCTGTTTGGATTTCCTATTTCGACTTCTTTCTACACCCTTCAACAAGCAGCCTGAACCAAACACCCAAAATTGTGCAAACGCATAAACCCTAAACCAAGTTAGCCTACCTTGGGATGCTCTTTAAGGGCATTTGAACCACAAACCCTTTAGGGTTCATGTGGCCCCAAAAGGTACCCGTAAACCCTGACTTGGGCTTCCGTTTTGGCGGCACGGTGACAGGTTGCCTGGAGCGCCCAGGGCGTCGGAAGGCACCGCCCGCACAAGAGCCTTGAGCTGGGATTTAGGGTTTAGGGGTTAGCGTTTGTATGTTCAGGGTTTAGGGTTTAGGGTTTAGGGTTTAGGGTTTAGGGTTTAGGGTTTAGGGTTTAGGGTGTATAGGGCTTACCCTACACCCTAAGCCCACTGGAAAGGCCCCTTGAGAACCTCTGGAGGCCCTTGACACACGGAACGCGCTCTACTCTCCTCTTTCGGAGTATAGGGTTTTGGGTTTAGGGGTTTAGGGGTTTAGGGTTTAGGGTTTAGGGTTTAGGGTTTAGGGTTTAGGGGTTTAGGGGTTTAGGGGTTTAGGGGTTTAGGGGTTTAGGGGTTTAGGGGTTTAGGGGTTTAGGGGTTTAGGGGTTTAGGGGTTTAGGGTTTAGGGGTTTAGGGGTTTAGGGGTTTAGGGGTTTAGGGGGTTAGGGGTTTAGGGGTTTAGGGGTTTAGGGGTTTAGGGGTTTAGGGGTTTAGGGGTTTAGGGGTTTAGGGGTTTAGGGGTTTAGGGGTTTAGGGGTTAGGGGTTTAGGGTTTAGGGTTTAGGGGTTTAGGGGTTTAGGGGTTGAGGGGTTTAGGGGTTTAGGGGTTTAGGGGTTTAGGGGTTTAGGGGTTTAGGGGTTTAGGGGTTTAGGGGTTTAGGGGTTTGGCGTCTCGGGTCTGGGGTGCCCTCAAGTCGTTTCTACACGGATCTTGTAGGGGGGTCGAAGTTTCTCCTGAATGGCTTTGCCCTAAACTCTGGGAAAAGCCATGGGCATTACATCCCAATAAGAGGTCACTGCTCTGAACGCTTTCTTTTATCTTTCCAAAGCTGTTCTGATTAGTTTTGCTGGCCCTTGAAACCCAAAATGCAAAGCTGAGCGAGGAGCAACGACACTAGTCCACCTCACACGTCTTGGAACCTTCACACGCTCGTGAACTTGTGGATGTAAATCCTAAACCCTAAGCCCTAAAAGCTAAACCCCTTAAGCAAATAGTAGGATAAGAGCTTACGAACTCCCACTCCGAAACTCAAGCCCGAAGCCCTAAACCCGCCATGATTCTGCCCTAAGCTAGGCATCCTTTTTGTGAATCTAACTCTTTGGAGTGCTGGGTTACCCTAAACCCTATGAACCCTATGAACCCTATACACCCTATGAACCCTATAAACCCTATAAACCCTATAAACCCTAGAAACCCTAGAAATTTTAATTTCAAGGTTGAGGCTGCAGCGTCCCTTAGCCGAGGAGGAACCCCAACAACTGACGTTCGCGCAGCGCTGTGCGGACTTTCTGGGCGCGAAGGAGGACCTCTCTCCCCCCCAAAAGGGCTTAGAGCTTGGGGTTTAGGGTTTAGGGTTTAGGGTTTAGGGTTTAGGGTTTAGGGTTTAGGGTTTAGGGTTTAGTTGGACTTTGGTGCTTAAGGTCTTTACTAGGGCTGAGCCACCGGTCGGACGAAGAGTCGTCTAAATCAGCGTTAAACCCCAAACCCTAAACCCCAAACCCTAAACCCTAAACCCTAGAACTTGCAGTCCCCAGTCTTCCCCTAAATCCCTAAACCCCAAACCCTAAACCCGAAACCCCAAACCCTAAGCCTAAACCCCAAACCCTAAACCCTAAGCCCTAGGACTTGAAGTCCCCAGTCTTACGCCCTAAGCCCTAACCACACCTTTCTCTTCCTTCGAGGAGCCGGAGGCACTACAGTCCCCCGGCTGCGTGGAATACTGCTTTGCGACCTTCATCTGGTGACCCTAAACCCGAACCCTAAACCCTGAATTCTGAACCCTAAACCCTAAACCCTAAACCCTAAACATTTTTGGGTACCGACATATTAGGGCCGCCTTAAGGATCACAATTTAGAGCACATCTGTCTGTAATTCAGGAAGATGAATATTTGCCACGTTTGAATCCTTTCGTAGTCCGATATTAACATGATTTTGTTTTATTTGATAGTTGCAAGTACAGCTGCACTAATAATTCCAATTCCAACTGCTGTCATGAACTGAAAATCCTAAACCCTAAAACCTAAACCACACAACACCCATTCGTAAGTCCCCTTGTGTAACTGGCGGCTTTTGAAAAATGTGTTTTGGATTGTTTTGTTGGTCTTGTTTGTGTTTAGGCTTGTGATGTTCCCCCATAGGGTTTGGTGTTTAGGGTTTAGAGCCCTGGACCCTAACCCTAAAGCCGAAACCCTAAACCAGGTTTGGGATTTCAAGGGCTCAGGGTTTTTTGTACCTGGGCCTTCTGAACCCTTGTTCTGCCCTAGGCCCGACAAGCCCTAAGGATGCGCTGGCCCCGAATCCCAGGAGGCCCAAAACCCTGAGCCCTAAACCCCAAACCCCAAGGGTTAGGGGTTTAGGGTTTCGGGTTTCCGGTTTAGGGTTTAGGGTTTCGGGTTTTAGGCATAGTTTCGACCATGTCCTTCTCCTTGTACAATGGGCCGCTCTCCCAGGCGGCTACTCGTGGCCCACGGTACGCAGGCAGGATTTGATCCACCATCCCTGTTTCGGATATTTGGTTTTGGGCTTTGGGGTTTAGGGTTTGAGGGTGCAGGATTTGTGGTTCCTCCAAAAAAAGCGCGTGCTTTTTTTTTAAGGGGTTCCGATTAGCAAGCTCAAGCCCTCAATCCCAATCCTCTCCTGCGCCCGGCCCTGAAGTGCAGCAGCCTCCCTAGGACCCAGGGCAGGCCCTTCTTCCCTCGTTTATGAGCCAGGGTTTATTCCTAGGTAGCTCACCGGCTTGCACAAGAGGTGTCGGGGGGCTTGCAGGGCTGCTGCTTGGGAATTCGAAGTATCATACAAGGATCATGAAGCTGTTTTTTGTTTTGTTTGTTAGGTATTTCTTTTCTTTTTTACTGAATGAAGCTGTTGTAATTATACATCTTAATTTATATGCACAAAGTATATAGTATACATGTCCATTGATGCCTGTAAAAATATCTAAATATAAATATAATGATAAATATGAATAAAAATATAAATCTATATATATATATATATATATGTATATATATATATTGATATAATTATAGACTATATACATATATATTCTAGAGAACCATCCGTAATGTTCTCACTGTTTAGGAGATTTTCGTGTGTTGCAGGCCTGTTGCGGTCTGTACAGCTTGAGGGGATCTCGGACTGCTGCACTGCCGCTATTATAGGGTTTCGGGTTTGGGGTTCAGGGTTCAGGGTTCAGGGTTTAGGGGTTTACAAGCAAAAAGTAAAAGACGACTGTGTGAAGGCTGTCTATGCTACTGCCGCCGAAGCCTCCCTGGTGGTGCTGCCTTACATCAACGGCCAAGTAGGTGCGGTCCCTGTGTCTTGTAAATCCTAAGCTCTAAACCCTAAAGCGTAAAGCCTAAACCCTAAACCCTAACCCTACGCCCTAAACCCTACACCCTAAACCCCTAAACCCTAAACCTATGCGCCAAGCCCCACAGACCCTGAATGGCCTCCAGAATCAGGGCGTTTCGGAGAATCCTAAACCTAAATCCATGGAGTGCAAGAGCGACCTCGGAGCGAGGTTTGGTTATTCTTGGGGGTTGGGGGTTGAGGGTTTAGGGTTTAGGGTTAGGGTTTAGGGTTTAGGGTTTAGGGTTTGGGGTTTGGGGTTTGGGGTTTGGGGTTTGGGGTTTCGGTTTGAGGTTTAGGGTTCATAGGTCATTGTTGGTGGCGCGAAGCGAAAGAGGCATGCTTCGGGGAATGTTCTGGTATTCTAGAGCACATCAGCGAGCACATCAGCTCACCACCTCGGGATGTCAAGCATCCCTTGAAAGGTCAATGCGTTTAGGGTTTGGGGTTTTGGGGTTTTGGGGTGTTGGGGTTCTGGGGTTTTGGGGTGTTGGGATTTTGGGGGTTTTGGGGTTTTGGGGTTTTGGGGTGTTGGGGTTTTGGGGTTTTGGGGTTTTGGGGGTTTTGGGGTGTTGGGGTTTTGCGGTGTTGGGGTGCTGGGGTTTTGGGGTGTTGGGGTTTGAGGTTTGAGGTTTAGGGTGCTCAAATGGGGTATACTTGGACTCTCAATTATGACACAGGGGCTCGAGTACATACTGTTTGAGCAGATGGAGCCTTAGGCATCGAAGTCTTCGATGGGGGCTCCGCCATCTTTCTCTTCGAAGGGCGCATCCACAATCTGGGGTTTTTCAGGGCCATCCTAGTAACTCAAACCCTAAACCCCAAACCCTAAACCCTATATCAACCCTATATAAACCGTATATAAACCCTATATAAACCCCCTATAAACCCTGTAAACCCTAAACCCTATTGCATCGCGATGAATGTGCTTGTGAAGGTGGCGATGTGCAGAGCTTTGCCCAGCGCCTCGGAGAGCTTGGCAAAGCTCTTCTCCTGTGCTGGTGTATGGATGGTTTAGGGTTTATGGTTTATTTTCGGGTTTTTGTAGGATTTATAGGGTTGTTTAGGGTATAGAGTGCTTAGAGGGTTTAGAGGGTTTATAGGGTTTAGAGGGTTTAGAGGGTTTGCAGGGTTTATAGGGTTGATAGGGTTTAGAGGGTTTATAGGGTGTGTAGGGTTTATTGGGATTGCAGGGTCTGGAGGGTTTATTGGTTGTCGGATTTAGGGGTTATAGGGTCTAGGGTTTAGGGTGTATAGGGCGTGCTTCGATCCAGGCTGGTTTGCGGTTCAGGCTTTTTTCAGTCTAGGGTAAGCAGGTAAATGGTGTAATCCAGCTACGGCCGCTCCCTGCATGTACTAACCCCTTTGCACTATCTCGATTTGGAACCCTAAGTCTCAAACCTCAAACTCCAAGCCTGAACGCCAAGCCCGATACACCCTATGCTACACACATCCATTCCCTACCCTCGCCGTTACCCCGAAGACCCCGATTTGCAATGGCAAGAGCGTTTTCGATGGAACAGAACCACCACATGCCCCGACAGCCCTAAAACGCTTACCCAGAATCCTCCCCCCAAAACCCTCGCCCTCCCCCCAACCTCCGAAAGCCCGCAAGACCCTAAACCCTAAGCCCCAAACCTAAGCAACCCTAAGCCCTCAACCCCCAAACCCTAAACCCCAAACCTAAGCTAAACCCTAAACCCTAAACCCTAAACCCCTAGACCCCCACTAATTCCCCCGAAATATCGAGGATGTCTGCCGTAGCCTCGGCCGTGCAGTTCATCGGGGGCTTGGCCTTCGGGAGGATGACCGACCGGAAAGGTGGAGTTTAGGGTTTAGGGTTTAGGGTCCAGGGTCCAGGGTTTAGGGTTTAGGGTTTAGGGTTTAGGGATTCTCACGCCTCTACTACAAGTGCCCCAGAACCTTCAAACGAGTAGCCCTGTCCAATGCCCTAACTCCTATTTTATCGTTTTGGAAAGCCCTAAACCCTAACTCTACAAGTAGACCCCTTACTACGCTAACTTCAGTTAAGGGAGTTGTAACGTAAGTAGTCAGACTTATAGCCTAATTTACGCTTCTTCTCCTGTTTATAACTAGGGGCCCATACATGTAAGTTTTGTGGGAGGGCAGGCTGCAGAGATTGAGGGACACGGTCTTCGGGTTCCTGGTGCGCCAAAAGCCCACCGACGCATTTGAGGTTTCGCCGGCCCTTTCAGGCCCGGCCCAGCAAACCCTAAGCCGGCATCATACCCTAAACCCCAAACCCTGGAGGCCTAAACCCCAAACCCTAAACCCTAAACCCTGCATCGAGCGGGCAGGCAGCTTCTGGGCATTGATGACCGCGCATGGCGCATCGCTAGGCAGGATGTGGGATACAGCTCTCAAACCCTTCTAACCGGTTAAACCTTAGACCCCAGACCCTGAACCCTAAACCCCTTAGCCAAGCCCTGCGCCCGGCGTCGGAAAGTGGGTCGCCGTCTGTCTCTCATGTTGTTTGGGTGGGCTTAGGGTTTGGGGTTTAGGGTTCAAGGGACTTAGACTGGTACCCCTCAGGTTGCATAGGTTTCCCTCAGTACACTCCTAGCATGGCGATTGTATTCCGTTAGAGGAGCGTTAAACAGGGTCCCCAAACCCAAGGGTACAACCTTAAGGGCCCAAGGTATCATTCCATGAGGTTTGGGAACCCTAAACCCTGAACCCTGAACCCTGAACCCTGAACCCTAAACCCGAAACCCGAAACCCTAAACCCTAAACCCTACCCCCCCCCCCCCCCCCCCCCCCCCCAAGATTTGAGCATCCTGCCAGGAAGCGCCTTCCTCGTAGCCAACGCCACCTCCAAGCATCAGTTGATGGCAGCGTCCGGGCCCCTGCGACCCCTTCTTTCTGCAGTTTTAGGGTTTTGGGGTTTAGGGTCCGTTCGGGTTTACCAAGCCCTGAGGCCTGTGAAGATTGCTGGGCTTTTGGGGTTGGGGTGACCTGAAGAACGCTGCTATTTTGCAGAAGCTTCTGTACACAGGGGTAGCCTTCCTCATAAGTGGTTAATCCACAGCCTCATGCCCTTGAGGGTCTAAGCCTTGGACCCTCAAGCCTCAACCTCCATAAGCCCTGCCCTTAACTTTCCAAACCCATATCGGCATCTTGTCCTAGACCCCAAAAAACCTTTCACCCAACCACCGACCCAGAGCCCGAAGCCCTAAACCCTAAACCCTCAAGGCCAGAAATAGAAGCTGTACCCGGTTTCATTACGAACTTCTAAAGGTGTTTGTCTAAACAGCCGGCGCTGGGTTGGGGAACTCTTGTGGAAGGTTCGGCAAGTCCCTGACCTCAGTACTTCGAGTACGGTTTTCCGGAGTATAGGAGCCCGGTTTTTTCGTGCAGAGAGCTTCACGGTCTGTGCCTTCAGTGGGGCCTACCATGTTCACCCTAAGCCCTAAACCCCAAACCCCAAACCCTAAACCCTAAACCCTAAAAAACCATGTTCAGAAGAGGAGCTCACTGCAGATGTCGGGCTGCGCCAGGAAGGTGACCTTTGGAAGCTTGTGGGTGGACTGCTCGTGCATGTTGAGTGCGAAGCTTCCAGCCCTGGTCTATGGAGCTGCCGACATGATGTCGGACAAAGCAGCTGTCATGAGGCTGAGCCAGCCTTGTCTCCAGAGGTCCTGCTTGCCCCAAGGCATCATGCACCACGGCCAGCAGGGGTTTCGCGAAACTCCAGCACTGCGAAAACGCATTCGCAGCGTTCTACCTCCTGGCCATGCACACGTGCTTCACAACGGCGCTTCTTCGGCAAGAAGTGGAAGGGCCACTTGACAAGATGAGAACGCAAGGCTCTGTAAGGATCCAAAAGGCGCCGGGAGCTCCCAAAACCAGGCCTAAACCCCTAAACCCCTAAACCGTGAATCCAAAGGCCTGGAAACATCCAAAAGCCCAAGGGGGACACAAAGGCCCGGGAAGCTCCAAAAAGGTCCCTAAAAGGCTCGACAAGGCCCCAACAGGCCTGGAAGGGTTTAGGGTTTGAGGTTCAGGGTTTAGGGTTTAGGGTTAGGGTTTAGGCCCCCCCCCTCCCTCCCAGACAGGAACGCCAGGAACGCTGTCTATCTCGAACGCAAAGCAAAATCTCGTCAAAACCCTCCAAACCGTCAAAACCCCGCCCTATACAATGTCTATAGACCCCAAACCCGAAACCCTAAACCCGAAACCCTAAACCCCAAACCCTAAACCCTAAACCAAATCCTAAACCCTAAACCCTAAACCTAAACCCTAAACCCTAAGCCCTAAGCCCTAAGCCCTAAGCCCTAAGCCCTAAACCCTAAACCCTAAACCCTAAGCCCCAAACCTAAGTAACCCTAAACCCTAAACCCTAAACCCTAAACCCTAAACCCTAAACCCTAAACCCTAAACCCTAAACCCTAAACCCTAAACCCTAAACCCTAAACCCTAAACCCTAAACCCTAAACCCTAAACCCTAAACCCTAACTCTAAACCCTAAACCCTAAACCCTAAACCCTAAACCCTAAACCCTAAACCCTAAACCCTAAACCCTAAACCCTAAACCCTAAACCCTAAACCCAGCCACCAGTCCAGCCAAAAATCAAGGATGCTTCCCCTGGCAATGGCCCACGGGTTCCAGGCCTCGACCTGGGCGTTTTTCGCGTTTAGGGTTCAGGGTTTAGGGTTTAGGGTTTAGGGTTTAGGGTTTAGGGTTTAGGGTTTAGGGTTTAGGGCTTGCAGGAGAGCAGGGTTTGGGGTTTTAGGGGTTTAGGGTTTAGGGCCTGGGTTTTGGGTTTTTAGGGGTTTAGGGTCTTTAGGGCTTGTAGCAGACAAGGGTTTTGGGTTGTACGGGTCTAGGGTTTAGGGGTTCAGGGCCTCAGAACGCAGGGGGTTTTGAAGATCAGGAGTTAAGACTCGAAGGGGCTGGGATTTGAGGGTTTAGGGATGATGGGGAGATCAGGGTTTTGGCAGGGTCCTTTAGGGGTTTATGACTGGGACTCTCAACATGGGTTTAGGATTTAGGGTTTTAGGGTTTAGGCACCCCTATAGCCTTTGAGTTTACGGCAAAACCCCAAGCACCGAAGTCCATGATCCTACATGACATGAAGCCCGGCGCCTGCGGCCCTAAGCCCCGTAGAACCTGGAAAATCGACGGGCTTGCCATCTTTGGCTTGCCGACCGTTCCGTCCCCCCACCCCACCACCCCACCACCCCACCACCACCACCACCCCCTCCCCCCCCCCCGCCCCTCAGCCCAAAAACGCTACAAACCGCATGTAAGCCCTAAGCCCTCAACCCTAGGGTTTGGGGGTTCCTGGATGTAGGGTTTAGTGTTCAGGGCCTAAGGTTTAAGGTTTATACGGTTCATGAAAACGAGCATGGCTTCTGAATGTTATGTGATCCAAAGGGTGATGGCTAGATATTCCGTACCAGAGTAACAAGCTTCCCAGAGCCTCACTAGTGCTTGGTCTGAAGATGCTGAACCCTAAGCCCTACACTAAACTCTATCAACCCCATAAACCCAATAAACCCTACAAATCCTATAAATCCCATAAATCCTATAAACCCTACAAACCGTATAAACCTAAACCCTACGACTTATACAGCCCTTGGAGCCCTAAAGCCTAAACCTTAAACCCTAAACCCTAAACCCAAAACCCTACAGCACCTATAAAACCCTTGGCGCCGGCCAGGCGTCCTCGCAGATCGCCGTGACGAGCTCCACGCCGGAGACGCGCGCGGCCGGGAACTGAGGGAGCGCAACCGGTCGGGTTTAGGGTTTAGGGTTTAGGGTGTAGGGTTTAGGGTTTTGGGTTTTGGGTTTTGGGTTTTGGGCTTTGGGCTTTGGGCTTAGGGTTTCGGGTTTGGGGTTTAGGGTTTAGGGTTTAGGGTTTAAGGGGCTTAAACGCCTGAAACCCCTAAGCTTCGGAAACCCTGCGACCCTGAAACCTGGTCTTTGAAATCCCTGAAGCCCAATGCCCACATGCTTCTGCACAGGTTATCTCCTAAACACACAACCTTCAGTAGGGCGAACTGGCCCTTGAAGTACAATTCCAGCGCAAGTCGCAATACCCTGAACCCGATAAATCAATATACAAGCAGAGGCAGAGGACCAATTCTGCAACCTCGTAATTCGGACTCCTCAGTAGACCTTCAGCGCGTGGGGTGTCGCAGGACTCTTGGGAGTTCAGCTGTGTTCTTCTGTGGGTGGGGATTGCTGTAGGGTTGCGGGTTGAGGGTTGGGATGTTTTAGGGGTTTGGGGTTTTGGGTTTTGGGTTTTGGGCTTGGCTGGTTAGGGTTCAAGTTTGAGGGTATGTTTCGCCAATGGTGCTGAAGGGCTTTTGTTTGTAGGCCCTAGACCCTACATCCTCCCTGATTAGTTCGAAAATCCTAAACCCTGAAAGCCGCCCCACATGTTGATTCCCGCATTGGCCCCTTACTAAACCCTGTTGGTATCGGGTTTAGGGTTTAGGATCTACTCAGTGGACAAAAGGAGGGACCCTTTTCACGACCTCAGGGGAGTTTGGGGGGGTTATTTAGGGTTACTTAGGCAAATAGGGACTATGTCAGGTATATGTAAGGGGTTATATAGGGGAAGAAGATTAAGGGTCCCTTCTAGGGGTCCCTGCTTGTTACCCCCTCAATCTACAGGGTTGGCCTCAAGACAGTCGGCATCGGCAGTTTGACTTCATGTGCGGGTTTAGGGTTCAGGGTTTTGGGTTTAGGGCAAACGCGGACTGGAACCCAAAACTCAACTCCTTCTAGGGTCTAGGGTTTAGGGTTTTGGGTTATTTAGGGTTCAGGGTTTAGGTCTTCGGGTTTAGGGTATTGAGTCTAGGGTTGAGGGCTTAGGGTTAGTATAGTTTCGGGGTTTGGACAACCCTAATGCCCCAAGCCCACAAAAGGTCGCGATGGGACGCATCAGCATGACTTACGGTGCTGGCTTCTTTGCCGGCACGCTGGCCGCATGTCTGCACTTCTGCTGCCGCAGGGCGACACCTTAAACCCACAATTTACATAAGCTGCGGTTTAGGGCGTGGGGTTTGGGGCTTAGACCTAAGTTACTGAGAGCCAGTATGCAGGCGAATTTGCAAATAGACGACGGAAACAGCCAGCATACGGCACAAGAAGCCTCTCCGTGAACCCTGAACGTCTGATTAGGTTTGGGGCACAGTTTCTTCCTTCCCGAAGCCCAAAGCCCCAAACCCTGAACCCTAGTCCTAAGCCAAACCCTCCTTGACACCTCCCCAACCGAGAACCCCGCATACTGCACCATAACCCTGAACCCTAACCCCTCGGCCCTCCATCCCGGCTGTTGGCCCTGAACCCTAAAGTCTCTAAACCCCGAATTCCCAAGACCCCAAGTTCCCTAAACCCTAAAACCCTCTAACCTTCTAACCCTAAACCTTCAACCTGAAACCCTAAACCCTAAACCCCAAAACCCCTAAACCCTAAATTCCCTAAACCCTAAGACCCTAAATTGCGGATGCAGGTTACCTCCGCGGCCGCGCGGCGACTTTCCACGCGCCAGATCGCCTGGGCCGCCGTTTTCCTGGAGGCCACGTGTTAAGTTTAGGGCGCATAGGGTTTAGGGTTATTTAGGGTTTAGGGTTCAGGGTTCAGGGTTTACGGTTCAGGGCTTAACATGTTTTCCACCTGCTGCCCTAGATTACTTGAACCCTGGTTTGAAGCCTCAGTCTAAACATCAGAACCCTGGAGGAGGCAAGGGGTCCCTTGTGGTTGAGGGTTTAGGGTTTAGGGTTGCTTCGGGTTACTCAAGGTTGTTTAGGGTTAGGGCTTGTGTAGGGCCTAGTGTTTTCAGGAGCTCAGCCGTTTGCCCAGTTATTTCCGCCATCTCGGGGGGTTTAGGATTTAATTGTGGTTTTCAGGCTTCGGGGGGCTATGGTTTAACTCGACAGAATGACCGCGTCGGCTTCTCAATCTGACGAACCCCCACCGACGAGGCTGGCGCAATCGCAGTGGTGGCGATGTTGTACCCGCCCGATGAAGGATTGGGTCATTGGCCTAAGCCATAAGTCCTGAACCCTACATCCAAATCCCTGAATCCCACACCCTACACCCTAAACCCTTAACCCTTACATCCCAAACCCTAAACCCTAAGCCCCAAACCCCAAACCCCAAACCCCAAACCCCAATCCCCAAACCCCAATCCCCAATCCCCAATCCCCAAACCCCAAACCCTAAACCCTAAACCCGGGTTTAGGGTTTAGGGTGTGTGGTTTGGGGTTTAGGGTTTATAGGGTATAGGGTTTAGGGTTTAGGGTTAGGGTTTAGGCTTCAGGATTCAGGGTTTAGGGTTCGGGGTTGAGGGTTTAGGGTTCACAAATCCTCTTTTTTTTGTTTAGATTCCCGTTTTCAGCCCCAGTAATAATACCCCCCCACAACGCCCTGAACCCTAGGCCCTAGACCCTAAATTCTACTCCTGCACCCTAGCTTGGTAGCCCAGTGGTACCCTTTTGCCCTTTTTGCTTTGTTCGGGGTCTGGGTGCCCTTTTTTTTGCAACCAACCCCCAAACGGAATACCCATATTGTGACATGGTTACTGAGCTACCAAACTAGACAACCGTAAGGTTGCCCCCTAAACCCTAAACCCTAAGCCCTAAACCCTCAACAGTAAACCCTAAACCCTAAGCCCTAAACCCCAAACCCTAAACCCTCAACCCTAAACCTAAAACCCGAAAACCCTAAATCGAAGGAGCTGGCAGTCAGACCACCGACACAGCAGGGGAGCGCGACTTTCGGCAGCTGCTTCGCCGCCCCTCACGCGCATGAAGGGGGACGCAGAGGTTGTTGTTAGGTGTACGGTTTAGGGAGGGCTCGAGGCAGGGATTAGGGTTTAGGGTTTAGGGTTTAGGGTTTAGGGTTTAGGGTTTAGGGTTTAGGGTATTCAGGGCTCACTGGCGTCATGGTCGTGGGTATACAGCCTTAGCAAGACGACTGGAGGTACACATGCTCTTGCATAGCATACCCGGTATCCAACACTATCTGTATATACGTATGTACATGCTTGCAGTGCATCCCAAGTAATTCCACTGTAAACCGTGCTTGGTGAAAGAAAGCAAACGCTATGCACATAAATCTTGTATATTTGCATGTACCAATATGATATTCTTTTCAGTTTGCATTGCCCAACTCCGGAGGAGCACAATGCTACCTAGACCTGGTGCCTGACGTGGGGCTGTTTGTTTCCAGGAAGCTTCCGGCTGTAGGGGCTCAGGGTTCTGGAGCTTGCCCTTTAGGTCTCGGGCTCGCAGTTCAGAGGGTTCTTCCATCTCCAAGCCGAAGCTATTGAACCCTGCTCTCTCAAATCCTACACCCTAAGCCCTGAAACACCCTATCTTATCCAATCCAAAGCGCTCACAGTCTCAAAGGCCGAAAGGGTTTAGGGTTTGGGGTTTAGGGTTTAGGGTTTAGGGTTTAGGGTTTAGGGTTTAGGGCCGAACAAGCCCGAGGTCCCCAGGTAGTGCCCCTGCTGCTGTCAAAGCTGGCGAATGCCACATCAGGCATGCCTGCAGTTACAGGTTACGTGGCGAGTGTGCTCGTATTGTTTCGAATTAGGGTTTAGGGTTTAGGGTTTAGGGTTTAGGGTTTAGGGTTTAGGGTTTAGGGGATGGGCTATCAGGCCCTATAAGCCCCACAATCAACCCTACAAAGGGCCTTTTTTCAGGGGTGATAATTTTTGAGTAGAAGAGCCCGTCCTGGGAGTTATGGGTTTCGGAGGATGAAAGCCCTAAAAGCACTAGACCCCAGACATCCTAAGCCAGTTCAGACCTGATATCCTAAACCTCGCCACGGTAAACCATGCGCCTACAGGGCTCCTTCGGATTCATGCAGCCTAGTTAGCGTAGGGCCCATGCAAGCTACTTAGAATGTAACACCCCCTGAAGCCTAAACTCCTAAACCAAGCCCTAAACTCCCCCCCTAAATCCTAACCCTTAAATTCTCAACCCTAAACCCTACGTAAGTTCCAAACCCTAGTTCGGTTCTTCGGGCCGTTTGAGTCGGGTTGCCTTTGGGGAAGTTGTGTGTCGCAATCGCAGTGATGCAGCTCGCTCAGCAACTCAAAACCCCTCTTCCATTCTTAGGGTTTAGGGTTTAGGGTTTAGGGTTTAGGGTTTAGGGTTCTACCATTTGCTTAAGAACCCCCCACCCACCACCCCTCCCAAAAACACACGGCAAGCAAGAAGTCGCAAAATAACAATCCCTCAGTTGCCTGTACAAGGAAGAATAGATTATTTCGGAGGATTCTTAGGCAAATAGCAGTCACAAGGCGGCCTTAGGTAACTCAGTTGGAGCAACGACTTTTCGGGGCTTTTCCAGGAATCTTCAGCTTGGTAGCCCAGTGGTACCCTTTTCCTTTTTTGGTTCAAGGTTCCCTTATAAAGTAACCAACCCAAAAAGGGTGCCCTTATTCAGCAAAGGAACCAACCAAGAAAGGTGCCCTTGTTACAGGACGGTTACTGGACTACCAAGTCAAGTAAGCCCTAAACCCTAAACTCTAAGCCTGAAACCCTAACCGCGAACCCCTAACCCCTAACCCCTAAACCCTAAACCCTAAACCCTAAACACTAAACCCTAAACTGCCAGCAGGGGGGATGCTTCTCTGCATGATCAACCAGTTCGCCATGGATCCGCCTCCTGGTCTTCCTAAACCCTAAGCCCTAAGCCCTAAGCCCTAAACTCCCTCTAGAATCCTAAAGCCCTAAACCCTAAACCCTAAACCCTAAACCCTAAACCCTAAACCCTAAACCCTAAACCCTAAACCCTAAACCCTAAACCCTAAAGCCCTAGACTCCCCCCAAGCCCCAGCACCCCAGAGCCCTAAACTCCCAAACCCTCGAACCCTGCAGCCCCCCGCCCCCCACCCGAAAGCCTAAGTCCTCAACCGTTACTCAAGTGTACAAACACTAGGCTCTTCAGGACTTGCCTAAACCCTAATCCTAAACCCTAAACCCTAAACCCTAAACCCTAAACTTTCTGAACTAGCATAGCTCGGACTCCTTGCTTGAGGTTCAGCTTCTCCGCTTCTCAGACGAGCCTGCTGATGGCCTATGTCCGGCACCAAGAGTTACGGTGTCAGGGTTTAGGGTTTAGGGTTTAGGGTTTAGGGTTTAGGGTTTAGGGTTTAGGGTGTTGGGGGGTCATGATCCACAGGACTCACCTTCGACCTCCTAGACCCTAAACCCTAAGCCCTAAAGCCTACACCCTAAACCTCACCCCCAAACAAAACAGAGGCAGCGTGCTGCCGGGCTCGCGGCAGAAACAGGTGAGCAACCGAGCACGAAGTGTGCTCGAATCGCCACGTTGAATGTATTCCCACGGTTCGGGCCAGTTGGGTGAGTTGGATGCTTGCACAGGGAGCTGGAATCCTTGTCAACGTTCAAGAGCATCCCGCCGGAGCAAGCACTTCAGAACATGCTTATCGCCCTGCCAGAAGGGCCAGAGCTAGCAAGGACTTTCAGTGTGCGGCCGTGGGTTCAAGTCGATCTGGCCGTTCCTTTTCAAGGGCTTAGGGTTGCTCTAGTTTGCGGTCCCTCTTTAAGGGTCCTGTTCATCAGGTTTAGGGTTTAGGGTTTAGGATTTAGGATACAGGGACCTAAAAGGGGAACGTAGTTTTGGAGAACTACCTCTACAGGGTTCGAGTCTCAAGCTTACTAGTGCTTAGTTGGGAAATAGCGAGGTGCTAATTTTTTGGGGTTCCCATGTGGGCTACTGTACCTACTTCCCGAAAAAATGATCCATACTAGGAGCCCATAGGAGCAAGCGTGTCAAGTTTGTGGGGCTGAGGCCTTCATCGATGAGAATAATTTAGAAGCATATCATAATATCATATGCAGAGAAATGAAAAGAGCAATGATCATAAACAAAACAGTCGAGTAACTATATAGAGTTTCATTTTAAGGCTGATGGCATCGTTTTTTTTTGGCTTGTCGGACCGCAGGGAGTTCGGTGTACCTAAACCCTGGGCTACCCTAAACCCTGCACCTTTGTCATAGTTGGGTAACATTTACATGTTTAAGGGTACTTCAACCCAGTACGGAATATACATGTAAAAGTTTAATACCATCCCAACCATGAACTAGGCACCCTCCATACCCTACATACGCTTTGTGTTGAGGCCGCAGGCAAGCCGATTAGGGCCTAAGCCCCGAACCCAGACCATCCTGTGCGATTCCGGTACTATTTGCTCGGGAGCAGCCCCAACACATAAAGAACAACAAGCCCAATGTTGCCTCATAAGGAAGAGTGTTTGTATGTTCGGGGGGAGTTCTTAAGCAAGTACTAGGTCAGGGGTCTTGACCCGATCAGGGCCCGGAGCAGGGTCCCCGCCTCATTTGGTTTGAGGGTTGGGTTTAGGGTTTAGGTTAGGGTTTTCGGGTTGAGGGCTAGAGCCCTCAACCCAAAAACCCTGAATCCTTAAATGTCCCTAAACGCTGTATTTTGGCTTGGATTTAGAGATCTCCAGGGCTTAGGGTTTAGGATTGAACTCTAGAGCCCTGAGCCCCTAAGCCCTGGACCCAAAAAACCCCTAAGTTTCCCTAACTTCCTAGGACCTGGAGTAAGCCCTTGTTCCTTTTTGATGGTTTGGGTTCCCTTAGAAATCCTTGTTAAACCAAAGAGGGTACCCTTTCATTCCTAGGTTACTCTTGGGTCTAGATTCTCTGAGTGGTGGGAACCCTGAGCCTTAACCCTAAACCCTAAACCCTAAACCTTAAGCCTCCTAAATCCTCTAGGTGTCTGGGGAACCTCAATTGAGGTCAGCGGGGTGCAGCTCCTGTCGCAGGGCTGCTTGGTGCCCTTGCTGGCCCGTTCCTCCGTGGCAGTCGGGAGCGGGGGGGGGTTAGGGTTTAGGGTTTAGGGTTTAGGGTTTAGGGTTTAGGGTTTAGGGTTTAGGGTTTAGGGTTTAGGGTTTAGGGTTTAGGGTTTGGGGTTTTGGGGTTTTGGGGTTTTGGGGTTTGGGGTTTTAGGGTTTAGGGTTTAGGGTTTGGGGTTTGGGTTTGGGGTTTGGGGTTTAGAGCTGGTTTAGGGTGCACCCCACAACGATTTGTCAACCATAGATCTGGGGCAGTGTTCAGCAAACCCTAAACCCTAAACCTTAACCCCCATAAGCCGACACTAAACCAAAAGTTCTGACTCCTCAACCCTAACCCCGAAGCTTTAGAGGCCTGTAGAAGGGGGCACCCTTGATGAAACAAACCCCCTCCGCGCCATCCCACCAACGCAATTTCCTAAACCTTAAACCCGCAAACCCCAAACCCTAAACCCCAAACCCCTAAACCCCAAACCCAAAATCCCTAAACCCCAAACCCCCAAACCCCCCAAACCCCAAAGCCCGAAACCCCCAAACCCCTAAACCCCAAAGCCCTAAACCCCCCAAAGCCCTGTGCCCTCTGAGGTTTGTCCCCCAAAAGCCTCCGCCTGGCCTCCTCATCGGCCTTGGCGCCACTTGGACCATGCCTTGACGAAGGGGGGGCGAGGGGGGTTCGGGTTTAGGGTCGCATGTGTAGGATTTAGGGGATTTAGGGGGTTTAGGGGTTAGGGCTGACCCTCAACCTCTCAATCCAAGATTGAACTGGTTTGAGATAGTGTGCTAGGAGCCTGAATCGACTGTTATTCCTGTTTTTCAAGGTTTAGGTTCCGTTATAATTCCCCTTTTGAACCCCAAAAGGGGTGCCCTGTTTATTCCTAGGTTACTCTTGGGTCTGGGGAGTGCTTTAGGGTTTAGGGTTTAGGGTTTAGGGCTTAGGGCTTAGGGTTTAGGGTTTAGGGTTGAGCAGCTGCAGGGATAGAGGCCGATGGAGTTACAGGCGTAGCTCACACAGCAGAGCGGCTGGCTCCCCAACAAGTTCACCTGAACGCACAAGTGCCATGCTGCAAGATCCCAGACTATGAGAGTACTGTGGGTTTAGGGTATAGGGTTTAGGGTTTAGGGTTTAGGGTTTAGGGTTTAGGCCAGCAGATCCCTAAATCCCAAACACCCGACCCTCAACAAAGGGCTCGCTCATGGAACGTTTGAGATAAACGATTCGACACCCATATACCCTAAACCCTAAAACCCCCAAACCCTAAACCTTAAACCCTAAACCCCAAACCCTAAACCCTAAACCTTAAACCCTAAACCCCAAACCCTAAACCCCAAACCCTAAACCCTATTGCGAGCAGCACCCGTTTGCGGATGCATGTGGAGGCTGCCGCTCGTGGGTCTAGCCGCCTTCGGCTCTTTGGAACAACTTGGTCCAACTCCTGTGCAGGGTTTAGGGTTTTGGGTTTTGGGTTTTGGGTTTAGGGTCTTGGGTTTTGGGTTTTGGGTTTAGGGTCTTGGGTTTAGGGTTTAGGGCTCACTGGAACCCCCAAAACCCTAAAGGTTTAGGGCTTAGGGTTGAGGGCACCCTTGGGGGTGGTGGGAGTTTAGGGTTTGAGTTCAAGGAGTCTGCCCTCCCTTAGGAGAGGCTTGGGGGGGGGGGGGGGGTTTAGGGTGGTAGGATTTAGGGCTTAGGGCTTTGGGTCCAACCTTTCTTCAACAAGAAAGGCAGGGCATCTTGCTTCCAGGGTGGTTGGGGTCCTTTGGGTACGGGACCCTCATATCATCTAAGCCAAAGGGCATACATCGCAAAATCACAAGCCCAAAAGGTCCTTACACCCAAAACACCCTGACTGCACGACCTCAGAATTCCACAAGCAAATCCTGAACCCCAGGTTTCTCCGCTAGAATTCGCAAACCCTCATGTGCCCCTCAACCTCACCCCTACCTCCAGCTCTATGTTCTACTTCTTCCTTGTATAGAATTAGGGAGTAACCTAGGGCTTGGATTCGGGGCCTATCTATGAAGCCACCAATTCTTTAAGTCTAGGGCGTAAGTTGCGAAACCCTAAACCCTGAACCCTAGTGCGGGGTTGCATAAGGTACGTAGCTCCCAAAAACAGACTTATTCAAGAAAGACCAGGACTTGGAGTAGGCGATTACTCCCGCCTCGCAGGGTTCGGATCACTCATCCTCCCTTGCAGGGTTTAGGGTTTAGGGTTTAGGGTTTAGGGTCAAAATGGGCACCCTTCTTAAGGCCTAAGTTATCCTTCGGAACCCAGCAACTCTGGGCCCCCAGCCCCCCGAAGCCCTTCACCTTAAAACCCTTAGACCCTAAGTGCTTCATAGTGTATCCTCAGAGTTCACCAAAAACCCTAAACCCCAAAACCCAAACCCTAAACCCGAAACCCTAAACCCCACAACCCTAAACCCTAAACCCTAAACCCTAAACCCCAAAAGGGGGGTCCTGGGAAGCCTGCAAGTTGTTGAGGCACCTCCCCAGCTGCCTACGTCTTCTGGCTCGGCCCGCTCACGTCGGCTGCCGCCTGGGCTAGGTTTTAAACCCTAAACCCTAAACCCTAAACCCTAAACCCTAAACCCTAAACCCTAAACCCTAAACCCTAAACCCTTTTTAAATCCTAAGCCCTAAACCCTGAACCCTAAACCCTATAAGCCCTGCTTCTGAAAGGTTTAGGGGGTTTGGGGTTGCCTTAGCATCAGGGTTTGGTCGGCACTGTGCTTTATTCTGTGGACTGGCGTGGGGGGAAGGCCGTATACGATCTTGAGATGTGGGGTTCATAGGGTTTTCAGGATTTAGAACTTTAGGGTAAAGGGCCTAAGCTTCGGGTCTACCTAGCATGGTGCTTGTGCCCAAAGTTGGGTCTGCAGACCTAGCAAGTGCGAGGAAACCTAAACTCCCCAAAAGCCCTATTCCCTAAATCTGCGACCGCGAGCTGCTCCTTGGCCCTAAGCCCTAAACCCTGTACACCCTCCAGATTTAGGGTTTAGGGTTTAGGGTGTAGGGTTTAGGGTTTAGGGTTTAGGGTTTAGGGTGTAGGGTGTAGGGTGTAGGGTTTAGGGTTTAGGGTTTAGGGTTTAGGGCCCAAGTTGCTGAGGTGCATGGTGGTGGAACGGCCATGGGTAGCAGCTTGGCTCAGATGTCAGTCGGGCCACGCCAGCTGCGGGCGTGATGTTGCTTGGGTTTAGGGTTTAGGGTTTAGGGTTTAGGGTTTAGGGTTTAGGGCTTAGAGTTTGAGAGTTTGCTGCGTATCCGGTCCGGGCTTACACTAACCTATGCAGTACACCTGTTACAACGGGGCACACCTTACCTCTACGAAGCCCGAAACCCTGTACCCTCTGAACCCTACGTGCAATCAGCCAGAGGTATGCTCTCATGCCTGGCGCCAGACAGCGAGTCAGGCCATGTGTAAATGGTTTGGGATTTGCCTTAGACCTCCGGCGCCCTAAACCCTAAACCCTCATCCCTTAAACACTAAGGCCCAACTTTGGGGGTGGGGGTGTTTAGGGTTTAGGGTTTAGGGATTAGGGATTTGCGGCTTAGGGTTCAGGGTCCTTCCGTTTCGGATTTGTCTGACAGAGACTGCGGGACACTCCCCTGCAAAAGGCGCCATGGTGGCGCTGAGCATGGCGCCTCTGACCCTTGGTCTTTGGATGGGGCTCTTCTTTTTTTTTTTGGTGTGTGTGTGTGTGTGCGCGCGTGCGTGCGTGTGCGTGCGTGACTTTGTGTTTCGGGTTTAGCGTTTCGTGTTCTTCGGATTTTTTGGGAGTGTTGGGGTTTAGGTGGGGCTGGCATTCTGTCTTCCAGTGGATGTGTTCGGAGGGTTCAGGGTTTAAAGTTTGAAGTGTCTGTCTAGGACTCCCCTTTTTTTGCAGGGTTTAATTCCCTGATCCTCTCCGTTAAACCAAAAGGGTTGCCTTTTATTCCTGTGTCACTCTCAGGTCTAGGGTATAGTAAGCTACTATCTGCTTAAGAACCCCCTCAAAAAATGTATAATAGAAAAAAATATGCAAAACAACAATCCCGTTGGAGACTCCCTTTTGTTCTTTTTTTTTTTGGGGGGGGGGGGGGAGCTTAAGAGGGAATACGGGGACTACGATAGGGGCTACATGTCGGGATTTGTATGAAGGTCCACTACTCCACTTCCCCTCAAGCACCAGTGGGCCTAGCAGAACGCCAAAGATCTTCAGCACTCACACACACACACAAAGTGTCACTCTCTCTCTCTCTCTCTGTCTCTCTCGCTCGCTCTCTCTCTCTCTCTCTCTCTCTCTCTCTCCTTCTCTCCCTTGTCCCCAAAGCTCGAAACCTTCACGAGGAGATGCAGGAGCTTTCAGGGTTCGCTGTTCAATCACACTGCCGCTGAGAGCTAGAGAGCCGAACTTTAGTGACAAACATATTGAATGGCTACCTTACTCTACCAATTGCTTAAGAGCCCCCGAAAAAATATAAATGTTCTTCCTTGGTGTTGTTTTTATTTTGTAGGGGTTCTTAGTTCTTAAGCAAATGATAGTTCTGTCAGTTTGCATTCTTTTGTTTAGGGCAGATGTCTAAGGTAGCGGCTTATGCTTTACGGGTCTAGGATTTAAGGGTTAGGGTTAGCAACCGCGCTACACCTGAGAAGAGAGTAACCCGGAGCGCGCTAGCCCTGCGAAGAGAGTATCCCCAAACTTGTAGCAGGGTTTAGGGTTGAGGGTTTAGGGCTTAGTGCTACCCAAGTAGACTCTGGAAAAATCCTTTGAACAAAAACAAAACCCCTTATCCCCTAATAAAAAACCGAAACGCCCTCAACCATTGAACCTTAGACAACCCGAAGACCCCCACTAGGGTTTTGGGTTCCCTGAACCCGACGTAAGCTCAAAACCCCAGACCCTGCACCCTGAGCCCTGAACCCTGAACCCTGAACCCTGAACCCTGAACCCTGAACCCTGAACCCTAAACCCTAAACCCTAAACCCTAAACCCTAAACCCTAAACCCTAAACCCTAAACCCTACCTTATTCCCCCCTTATCCAAAGGAGCCTCGGCTTCCTCTTATCGCCTCTACTGGCCAGCTGGGTGCGCGAGCTGCATTTCCTTCTTCTGGTCCCTAAACAATAAAGCCCTAAACCCTAACCCCTAACCCTAAACCCTAAACCCTAAACCCTAAACCCTAAACCCTAAACCCTGAACCCTAAACCCGGGGTTTCTACAGAGGGTGGGGGGCCCAGGGCTTAGGGTTTAGGGCCCATAGAAGGGCGTAGGGAGTGTAGATGAGGACTGCAACAGGTTGCAGGGCTTCGGCTGCTCCACTAGGACCCCGAGTAAGCCCTTCTGCCCTTTATTTAGGGTTTAGGGTTTAGGGTTCAGGGTTCAGGGTTTAGGGTTTAGGGTTTAGGGCTTAAAGAAAAAGGGTGCCCTTTTTTTCCTAGGCTTAGTCCAGGTCTACCAGCATTTTGGCTTCCGAATGGTTCCCGCCGTGGCCTGCGGCGGACTGCCGGGATCCTACGCTTGGGTTGGGTTTAGGGTTGAGGCTTGAGGGTTGAGGTTTTAAGGTTCAGGGTTTAGGGGAAGGGTTTAAGGTTTTTTAGGGTGTGTTTAGAGTTTACAAACCCCGAGCCCGAAGCCCTCGTACGAAGAAGGCGTGGTGCTGCTCGGCAATGATTTCGAATACTCAGAAAGGGACCAACAGTTTAAGAAATCACCCGACATATATATATATATACATATATGTATGGTTAGCTGTCAAAATTGTGATCCCTTATGGGGTACCCTAACTATTAGGTGCCGTATTACAAAAAAGGGGTCCAAAAAGGTGACAACCACCCATACATAGTTTTATATGTTATATTTGTTTGTTGTTTCACGGGTTTGTATGGCTCAAGGGACTCGTGGGGCTTATGTTTCTTAGGGGTTTAGGGTTTGGGGTTTCGGGTTTAGGGTTTAGGGTTTAGGGCTTAGGGTTTAGGGTTTAGAGTTTTGCCCTACACCCTGAGCCGGCCCGAAGCTCGAAAAAAAAACCTTCTAGTGTTCCAAGAATCCAAAAAAGAGGTACCAATGAACCCATGAACCCTATACACCAACACCTAAAACCCTAAAGCCCTAAAACCCTAAAGCCCTAAAGCCCTGAAGCCCTAAAACCCTAAACCCTAAACCCGTTCGAGCTGTTCTAAAGAGACGTGGGCGGTTTAGGGGCGAAAGTCTATGAACAGACTACTCGGCACGAAGAACCCTAAGCAAGCCCTAAGCCCTAAGCCCTAAGCCCTAAACCCTAAACCCTAAACCCTAAACCCTAAACCCTAAACCCTAAACCCTAGCCCTAAACCCCAAACAAATTTCGGGTGGCCCAGGCTCGCCATGACAGCTCTGGTTGAGCTGTGCGCCGAAGCCGAGATCCCGGAGGCTGAAGGCTGCGAGAGTGAGGCCACGGCCAGCTGAGAGCTTGGAGGGGTGGTTTAGGGTTTAGGGTTTAGGGTTTAGGGTTTAGGGTTTAGGGTTTAGGGTTTAGGGTTTAGGGTTTAGGGTTTAGGGTTTAGGGTTTAGGGTTTAGGGTTTAGGGGGCTTTAGGGTTTAGGGCGAGGCCCCAAACCCCCGAGGAGCCCTAACAACCCGAAACCAGACCCTGGAGTGCAAAGAGCCGCCGCGCCAGGGCTTTGTAGGGTTTATAGGGCTGAGGGTTTGGGGCTGAGTAAACCCGAAAGAATACCCTAAACACTAAACACTAAACCCTAAACCCTAAACCCTAAACCCTAAACCCTAAACCCTAAACCCCAAGCCCCATACCCTAAACCCTAAACCCTGAACCCTAAACAGTTTAGGGTTAAGCAAAGAGGAGGGCTCCCTTCCGCTCGGGGCAAGCCAAAGCGCTTGCGGCCTGGAAATCCAAGGGACGGCCGGTGGCCAGCGTGGATTTCGAGGTCTGGTCTAGGGTTTATGGGTTTAGGGTTGAGGGTTTAGGGTTTAGGGTTTATAGGGTTCATAGGGTTTATAGGGTTTTATAGGGTTTTATAGGGCTTTATAGGGCTTAGAGGCTTTTACAGGGTAGGGCTTCGTTTGTTTCCGTTAGTGCTTGGGGCATTCGGTGGTAGACAGTCTGCGCCGGATGCAAGGCTGCGGTGCAGGCGGCCTTGATAAGGGGTCTCCAAGTAGCACAAAGGAGGTAGTATCGATAGCCCTAAACCCTAAACCCTATAAACCCTATAAACCCAAAAAACCCTATAAACCCTATAAACCCCAAAGACCCTAAACCCCAAACCCCAAACCCTAAACCTAAAGAATCAACTGCAAGGTGGGCAGCAGTCGTTATGCTTGGAGACCCAGTATTGGGTTCAAATCACAAGATCGGAACAGCATGAGAAAGCGAAGAAAGACGGGCAATGTGGATGCACCCCTAGACCCAAAACGCCTTAATCCTAAGCCTTAGTTTTAACCCCCTTTAACCCTAAGCCTTAGCTTTTGGGTCTAGGGTTTAGGGTTTAGGGTTTAGGGTTTCAGGGTTTAGGGTTTAGGGTTTAGGGTTTAGGGGATCGCTGGTGATACGCCTTAGGAGATAGAGCACGATGTGCCCCCTGAAAGGTACGCTTATTCCTAGAACCCTGCATGATAAGGACCTGACTGTAGAAGAACCCATATGAGAATGCTAGCAGTGTGCGTGTACATATGAAAAATAGGTGTTTCTTTTTATCGTGTGATATGCGCATATGGAACTTAACTAGTATAAGAATCTCAGCATACAGCTATCCTCATTCAACTCTGTGACCAAAGGGCCTTTTCCACAAACTCTAGAACCCTCACACCCTAAACCTGACCGTCGGAACCCTCAAAGCCGTCAAACCTCCAACCCCCAACTAGCCGCAAACCCGAAACCCCAGCCAGCACCCCTAAACCCCAAACCCTAAACCCTAAAACCGACCCTAAACTACTTTAACCCTGAAAGCCTTCAACCCTCCAAACCCAACTGGTTTCCAGAGGAGGGAGAAGGCATGGAGCAAGGCTTCAGCGTTCGCGGCCCAGCGAGGGCTGGGCTTCGGGTGCTACTTGGAGGTTCATGGTACTTTTTAGGGTTTAGGGTTTAGGGTTTAGGATTTAGGGTTTAGGGGCACTTGTTAACCAAATATAACTGTACGTAGAACCCCACTTATAAGCCCCTGAAGTGCCCTAATATGGTTACAAGTACAGTTAGAAGTACAGTTATAATGTGTTAGTAAGTACCATGAACCTCCAAGTAGGGCTCGCGGGTGGGTTTGGCGTTCGGGGGTTTGGGGTTCACCGAAACCCTCAACCCTACACCCTTAACCCTTTTTTGTGTTTAGGGTTTAGGGTTTAGGGTTTAGGGTTTAGGGTTTAGGTAACGGGTATGAGGTACCTGGTGAGAACCTGTAGGCAAGCCCTATTCTTCACTTCCGACACTTTGTCATTGTAGCGGATCTCCGAGCAAAAGCCTAAACCCTAAACCCTAAACCCTAAACCCTAAACCCTAAACCCTAAACCCCAAACCCCAAATCCTGAACCGCAGCCTTTAGAGGTTCCAGAAAGCTGTGCAAGTCGGGCCCTTCGCTAAGCTGGCATGTGATAAGGTTTAGGGTTTAGGGTGTAGGGTTTAGGGTTTAGGGTTTAGGGTTTAGGGTTTAGGGTTTAGGGTTTAGGGTTTAGGGTTTAGGGTTTATCACTCATCTACAGCCCTAAGCCCTTTGCAAAACCCGAAGCCCCAAACCCTAAGCCCTAAGCCCCGTACGCCCGGTCTGTAATTATATAGCAAGGACATGTACTTTCGGGCTATTCGCAAACTCCACACCCCAAACCCGACACCTTTCATGTTCTCTAGCATGATTTTCGCAGGTCCTTCAATATCCGAAGCTAAGCCGATGCTTTCATTCGACCCACTGGAGCGAAGGGTTTAGGGTTTAGGGTGTAGGGTGTAGGGTTTAGGGTTCAGGCCTCAGGGTTCAGGGTCAGGGTTTCGGGTTTAGATTTCTCATTGTAGAGTCCCACGTCTCGCCCTTCCCCCGAACCCTAAAATCTCACCCTACACCCTAAACCCTAAACCCTAAACCCTAAACCCTAAACAGGTGGTGCGCAGAAGCTCCGGAGCTGTTGGCATCTACCCGAAGCCCTACCTTCGCCAAAGAACGTCATGAGGTGCGGCGTGAGGAAAACAAGCGTGCTGAGCTGGCTCCTCCTACTCTACTTGGGGCCCTTGTTTAGGGTTTAGGGTTTAGGGTTTAGGGTTTAGGGTTTAGGGTTTAGGGTTTAGGGTTTAGGGCTACTAGGACCCAGAGTGGGCCCTGATCCGCTTGCCTTAGGGCTTGAGTTCTCTCATATGCTCCTCGAAACCAAGAAGGGCACTCTTGTGCCCTGGGTTTAAGGGTTTTAGGGCTTAAGGGTTTCAGGGTTTAAGGGTTTTAGGGGTTTAAGAATGTCCACTAGGACCCCAGAGTCCTCATCCGTTGTAGTGTTAGGGTCCCTTTGTGAACCTATAACACCCTGAAACCCTAAAACCCTAAAACCCTAAACCCCTAAAACCCTTAAACCCTGAAACCCTTAAGCCCTAAAACCCTAAAACCCTAAAACCCTAAAACCCTAAAACCCTAAAAACCCTAAAACCCTAAAACCCTAAAACCCTAAACCCCTAAAACCCTTAAACCCTGAAACCCTTAAGCCCTAAAACCCTTAAACCCTTAAACCCTAAAACCCTAAAACCCTAAACCCCTAAAACCCTTAAACCCTGAAACCCTTAAGCCCTAAAACCCTTAAACCCTTAAACCCTTAAAACCCCTAAAACCCTTTAAACCCTTAAACCCTTAAACCCTGAACCCGTTAGAGCTTTCATTCCTCGGCTTCTTCGGGGACGTGTTAGCATCTCTGACATCCCTGAGGCTTCAGCCTTCATATCATCTCTTAGGACTTTGCTTGAAGGCGTATGAGTTTAGGGTTCCGGGTTTAGGAGTCCAGACTATAAGTGTTTGATCATTTGAGTTTAAAGCAATTTGGTGGGGTATAAGCTGCATGCATGCCATCAGGCATGCAACCCCCTCCTCTGCAAAGGGCTAGCGGCTAGGTATTGTGATGATGGCAGGTTGCTCACCTTGCGCTTCCCGCAGCTCCTTTGTAGGCTAGAAGCTAAATTCTGCGTTTACCCTAAACCCTAAACCCTAAACCCTAAACCCTAAACCCTAAACCCTAAACCCTTTGGGGGCCCCTGTGCATGTGACCCTGAACACAATATCAGGTAAACATGTGCATAAATACATCCAGAAACACATGTGTATAATTATAATGATAATTCTAGTTATAATTATAAGTAGAATTATAAGTATAATTATAATTCTAATTATAATCATCATTCTTTTTTGATTTATTTGGTTGTGTATTTATTTTTAATGTAGATATAGGTAGATACAGATCGGCAGATACATAGATAGGTATACGTACTCACATACATACAGTTCCTCTCTATATAGATATGTTTCTTCAAGCAGCTAGGACCACAATTCTGGATACTTTGGGGCTCCAGGTATAGGTTCTTCGAAGTAGCTCATAGGTGAGAACGAAGCAAACTGAGAATCCACGTGTGGTGTCCATCATGAATCCCGACCTCTCGATGCTAGCGGCTCTGCGCCCGCACGTGTCGCGGCTGGGACGGGCCGATGATTCGAAGCAACGTCCAGGCGTTCAAGCTTCGGACTCCGCCGGGCACGCGCCCGTGCGCGGCATACGGCCGACCTACCTGAAGGCAGGGGCCTCTTGGTGGCCCACTGGTACCCTTTGACCCTTTGTTTTGGGGTGGAGGGTGGGGGGGGGGGTGGTTCTGGGTTCAATGATCAAGTAACCCACCCCGAAAGAAGGGTGCCCTTGTTATGATCTGGTTACCGGACTTCCGAGGCTTTGGCGGCCTCCTGCGCCACCCTGCCCACCTTGAGCCGGTGCCGGCGGTCAGCCCACCGCCCCCGGCGCAGCCTCCGCATGGCGCGCCGGGCTCAAAACTCGGGCGTGCTGCCTGAGCCCGAACTGCCCAGCCGCCGGGCAGGAAGTTGGGATTATTGTGTGTGTGTGTGTGTGTGTTGGTTTTTTGTGTCTCTTTAGTCTGGGTTTCTTGGGGCTGATATCTGGGATTCTATGATTTGTTTCAGAGAATTGTTTACGCCTAGCCCAGGGCCCTCAGAGACCGCCCTAGTCTGGTTTCGCAGTGGAGATCTGCGAGTGGAGGATCACCCCGGGCTTGCGAGGGCCGCCACAGCTCCGAAAGGGGTGCTGTGTTGCTGCTGGGCCGCCGTTTCTAAGTCAGCCTTTTCCCAAACCCTAAAGCTCGGAATCCCTCAGCACCTCTGAATCCACAGCTTCTTTCTTGCGCTGCTATCGAAATAGCCGATTTCTTTTTTGGGAGCCCGGTTTGGGGGATTACTGAGGCTACATCTTCGAAGCCAAAGAGATTGCACGGCTTTCTGCAAGGCGGATGAAGTTGCTGCGCCTCTGTCTTTGGGGAGTTTATTTTCATTTTTCATTGTTTATTATGATTATTATGATTATTATTATTATCATTATTTTTTTTTTTTTTTTTTGGGGGGGGGGGGGGGCCTGTTGTAACCGCAGACGTGCCCAAGGGTTTTCGCTTGTTTTTGGGGTTCCAAGATTCCAAACCCTAAGCCCTGAACCTAAACCCTCCATTCCATGGGGGGGGAAGACTCGGTGCACCACGTGTGGCTTAGGCGCGCAGCTGTGGAGGACCTTCGACAGCAGCTGAAATCTCGATACGGCCTTCTGCTCCACGTGTGTGCCGCGCGCAGTGGCCCCGAAAAGGCCTGAGACTTTCGCACTCTCCTTCTTGGTATATGGGGAATAGTCTTAGTACTGCATATAGGGAATATTCTTAGTATAGAGGGAATGTTCTTATAGTATGTCGGGAATGGGGGTTTTGGGTACCATTCACAGCCCCTGCAATGCTCCCTTCGAAACACCCTTTTGGGTTGTTGTTCACAGAAACCTCGGCAGGAGAGAATACAAAACGTATACACATACGCAAACCAATGTTGAATTCTTCTCTGGTTCGAGCAGTATTACGATGTTATACACGCAAAAGGAACCCACGGGCCCGCCCGACTTCCCTACCAAATGAAGTTTCGGGTTTGGGGATGTTTGGGGTCTAGAGAGGCCTTGCCTTACATTGAACCTCCCTCCCTGCATTACGACCCCCACCACCCCCGGCCTTTCCAAAAGAACGTGACATAGGTGCATTCACCCTCCACCTAAACCCCACACCTCACAGCCTCAACCCTGACCCCTATGTGGTTTCAGGGTTTGTTCAGAAGGCTTTAGGGTTTGGGGTTTCGGCTGGGCGGGGTGGGGGTCAGGCTCTAGGGTCCGCGAAGCAGTGGTTTTTGCGGCTGAGTATATGGGATGCAGCAACAAAAACTCTATATTATCTGCCGGACTTCTTAAGTACAGATGAAATGTCATGGCGCTTCTCAGCTACTCTTGCCATCGGAGCTTGTTCTAAGCCACCACCTGAGACACGATTTCAGGATCATGCCGGGTCAGGGTTCAGGGTTCAGGGTTTAGGGTTTAGGGTTTAGGGTTTAGGGTTTGGGGTTTGGGGTTTAGGGTTTAGGGTTTGGGGTTTGGGGTTTAAGAGTTTAGGGTTGCGGCACTCTTTCTGGATCAGGTGTATGAGCTTTCGAAAGATGTGAATGCAAGCGACGTCTACGTCCACGAGGATCCCGTAGATCTTCATATGGAAAGCAGCTTGACGGCAACTGCTGTGTGCGCCCATTGGAGCTGGCCTGTCAACATGAAGAGGTGCCCTGAACCCTAAACCCTAAACCCTAAACCCTAAACCCTAAACCCTAAACCCTAAACCCTAGAAATCCTAAACTCGATAAATCTTAAGCCCTGCAAAAACCCTAGTTTGGGGTGTAGGCTTTCAGGCCTGAGCCCCAGGACTCAGTGCTCGAAGCTGCTCAGGGCCTAGGGGAATACGACTTTCGGGAGGCCACAGATCCTGAGCCCTTGGTGCTTTGGAGTATCCAGGGTTTAGGGTTTAGGGTTTCGGGTTTAGGGTTTAGGGTTTAGGGTTTTAGACCCTAAACCCTGCTGAAGCTGCCTAAGGTTTGCAGGAGCTGCAGTCTCTGAGTCGCGGAAACCAGGGACAGCTTCGAGCTGCTAAGGCGGCACTTAGAGGCTGGGATTTGGGGTTTGGGGTTTAGGGTTTAGGGTTTAGGGTTTAGGGTTTAGGGTTTAGGGTTTAGGGTTACTATTTGCTTAAGAGCCCCCCAAAAACAGAAAATAAACCTCCCCATATGACCCTTATAAGGATTTTTTTTGTTGGGGGGGGGGGGAGTTCTTAAGCAATTCGTAGTTTTGGGACATTTTGGATTTTCCTCATTTGGCGGTTTACGAAAATAGGGGACCCTTAACATAGCCCCCCAAATAGTACGATTCCCTTATAGCAAGGGTATCCCAACTTCGGAAACCACCATTCAATTTGGGTTTATAAGGGGCCCTACATGGAAGTATTTTGCAAAGGGTTTAAACGGCCAACCCAGACATGGGCGTACAATCGGAAGGTGCATTGTAGGCCTTTATTACAGGGTGTTTTCGGGTTTCGTCGCGTCGTATAGGCGTGTATGGGTGTACTTCAGATGTCGGGGTTGAGGGGGTTCAGGGTTTTGGTGTTCTCCCAAGGTTCTCCGAAGGTTCTCCGAAG